TAAATGATATTCTTAATGTATCAAAATTAGAAGCAAAAAAAATCGTTCTAGTAAATAGAACATTTAATTTATTAGAGTTAATTGAGGAAACAGTTGATACATTCAGAAAAGGTGCTGGAATTAAAAAGATTGAACTAATTGTAAATTGTGACGTGGATATGCTACCAAGATATGCTAAGAGTGATCCTGAAAGGTGATTGATATAATGTATTTGTGTAAAATATGCAAAACTAGTAATTATTACTTACTTTATCTCTTGTCGAATAGGTTGAAACAAGTTTTGTCTCATTTGTTATCAAATTCGTAATTATCATTTAATTATACATACACATCATATGATGTTTTTAAAATTTTTGAATTATCATTATTATTATCGTTGAATCAATTCTTTAAGAAATATTTTTAAAAAATCATGTGGTGATGAACTATACAAGTAATTTTTATACCTATAACTATTATATAGTAATTTAATTGTTAATTTTTAGGGTTAAATTTACTAGTGAAGGTGAAATCGTACTGACAGTTTCAATGCAATCTCGGGAATTCATTGACGAAAACGAAGAGACTTGCAGTCAAGCATTCGAAAAACAAATGTTGTTTTTTGAATTATGTGATACTGGCATTGGGTAAACTACTTATAATTATATGCTTTATATTATATCACATGCAATCATCTAAATAATTTAATATTAATAGCATAGATTCCAAATATTTACAACATGTTTGGGAAAGCTTTTCACAAGCTGACATGTCAATAACTAAGGCGAAAGATGGTGCAGGACTTGGTCTTTCAATTTGTAAAAGTCTAGTAGAAATTAATGGAGGTCAAATAAAAGCAGAAAGTGAATTGGGAAAAGGAAGTAAATTTTCGTTTACATGGAATATTGAATTATTATCAACGACATCTTTGCCAAGAGAGTCTCAATTTAATGAGCAAATAAGATATGTATTTCCTCGTGCATTAAGGAAAAAACGAATATTAATTATTCATTCAGTCGAAAGTGTGAGAAACTCATTGTTGAAATATCTTAAAACGGTCGAAATAGTTGATGCATTTGATACCTTTGATAAAGGTATTGAAGCTGCAAAAACATATAAAGAATTATATCAACGTACTTATGATATGGTGTTTATCAGCCTTTATGAAAATAACAAAGAAGAAGTTATAAATGCTGTGCTAGAGTTAAAACAATTGGAAATAAATAGAAATAACTTAGCAATAATATTTATAGTATTTACAAGTGATGAAGGAACTAAATTAGCAGGAGAACTAATTGGAATTGTTTCGGGAACAGCTTTCGCTATTTACGCACCAATTACTTGGACTAAGTTAATTAATCAATTTAAGCATATGCAAATAATAAGCTAATATAAGAGGTCGCTGGATATGTCCTATAATTATGAATATTTTCATCCTGTAATAAGGCAAAATGGGAGATAATGGTGATTTATAGCCCTTCTCTATAATGAAGTTTATTGATACGTACCCATTTTCTGCGTCGCTATAGGTCATTGGTGTTCTGCGCAATGACTCTATTTTTCTGTAAATTTTAACTATATGCATGTGCATTTGTTGTGTTCTTAAGGGAGCTAGAATATATCGATTCAAGCATCTTTTTTCTTAATTTAATTTTTTTTTTACTTATTAATTTTTTAAGAAAAAAGATATATGTATATGTAATCATTAATTAAATATGATACAAGCATAGGTGTAATTACTGCACATTTGCAATAATAAACAATAGTAAAATTACGGTTTGTCAACGCAAATGTCAATGATCCGATGTAAATTTACATATAACTTTTTA